CGGAAAGTCCGCCAAACACCCATGCAAGAAGTAGACTCAGGCTTTCAACTGTAGGATTTCTTGTGTAGATGGGATCTTAGATGGTGGTTTGGATTAGCTGGGATTTGGGTTGAAGCCCTGGTTCCGGAACACCTGCAAAGCATCAATCCAAGCCACCGAGCAGAGGGTTACCGCGAACGCGCGGTCGCGCGGACCGCGCGGATGTTCCAGGGGTTGGTTCCCCATTCTTTTCAAGCAGAGAAGCGCCGTGTTTTTCTGGGCTGCGTGGCTTGGAAAAGAAGGATGCATAGGCTTAATGGGAAAGAATGGGGGAGTTACTCCTCGTAGTTGGCCGAGCCTGAGATTCGAGCTTGCCAAAAAGGACCGCAGGGGGATCGATTTGTGCAAGCTGCCCGCATTCTTTGCATTTTGCGTGCTGCTGATGCCAAATGCATGCCAAATGCTGACTGAAATTGAATCGTGAGGCATCGTGAGAGGGAACTTCACGGCCAACGGCCAGAACCATGGCAGGCCCACCTATAGGAAGGCCGGCCAGCTGATTCGCTCGGGCACGTGTTGCTGCTCGCTTCGCGCTTGGGTCTTGTTCCTGCCAGGATCAGCAGGTGAACGGTTTGGACGTCATGCTGTATTACTGGGATGAGCGGCCAGCTCAGCTTTTCCTCGAGCCCCTTGCCCGCTGGGGGGCCGCCGGAGTCCTGAGCCATCCAAGGGTAGGTCAGCATTGGGGGCGCTTTGGTCATCCTTGGCCATGACTTCCATAGACTGACCTTCTGCTCCGTTTGTGCCCCGTACCCCGCGGTGCCCCGCACGCCCCGCGCTTTATTTTTCTTGTTGCGCTTTGCAACGCCGCCTGAGCATCGATCGCGCGTTGCACTTAGGCGGGACGGCCCCAACTTTGCCGGCTGGTGGCCGTGCGCTCAGGTTTCGAGGTTTCCCCCGAAACTCGCCGTGCAACTTGCCACACGTACATGTACATGTACATAAAAATGCCATACTTCTCATTTGCAATTTAATATGCGTATACATGTATTCGCATGCATATGCATAGACATACTGTGGAAGGACGAGCTCCTGCACCACCTGAGAACCCCTGGAACCATGGCTCCCCTGTAAATGTCAACAAACGTTAGGGTTTTCCAGCACTTCCAAGTGCTGCGATGTCTGGATTTTGCCACCCATCCCCACAGGGACATTTGTGACGTGGGTCCTGAGGTTCGGGCCCAAAGTTGGAGGTGACCAAGTCTGGGCGTACCACAACAGCAGAGCCGCGCAGACGCGGGGGCCCCGGGGCTTTCACGTGGTCCACGTCTGAGGGGTTGGCATGGTGGGTCCCGCCTATTTTGCGACTGGCGACGAAGACGTGTGGAAAGCCAAACCGGCTGCTCCGACACGTCCGGCGTCCGAAGTGTCTTTCTCAGGCCGCCGCTGCGGGGCTGGAAGGTGCCGTACGACGGGCCGGTGGATGAGAGCTTCGTGATCGGGCCCGTGCAGCAAAACGCGCAGGCGGATGGGCCGAGCGCGATGGGCCGCGCCATTTGGATCATGTTGACTTCAGATCAATCAACCCCAGTTTGCTAATAGGGGGGCGGGGGGCGGGGGGGTGAAAAGCCCTCGACAAGTGGTCTGATTTCCGACTAAAGCAAGGGACACCCCCTTAATAAATTGGGGTTGATTAATAGGGGGTCAACATTGGGGTGTCTCACATGGGACCCTGTTCGACGAGTTTGTGGCTGGTGGGAGGGACGCGGAGGGACGAGCTCGAAGCTCCTTTTCCCATGTCCTGGGAACCACAAAAATGCGACGGGCTGATTTCGATTCTCAACTGGCCATGGATATTGGAGTCCAGGGACGGCCTGAAATCTGAGATGAGCTTGCACTATTTGCGTATATATATATATATGCTCACCCCCCCCTTTCCAGGGCCTACCTTTCCTCTTCAAAATGTACAAAACCCTCTTATTTTTAAAGACAGGGGGTGTGAGCATATATACGCAAGAAGTGTGCTGTTGCTGCATATTTTTTTGTGGGTGACAAGTCATGTTGAGTAACAACAGCAAAGAGTTTATAAACTTTCAAGACAGTTTATAAACCATGTCAAGGGTTTGACGGTTTCCTTGCAACAAGGGCAGGGGGGGGTCAGGGGGGGGTACTGAGAAGTCTTTACAAAGTTGGCTGAGTCACACCTCACTGCTAAGACTTCCAACCAACCACCCCCCCTCCCCCAACCACCCCCCCCCCCTCCTTCAACGATACCATGAACACTTCGTAGGGTGTTGTTGCCTTGATGCGGGAAACTCGTCAAACACTCAATAAGGTTTATAAACTTTCCTGAAAGTTTATAAACCTTCTGTAGGCTTATTGCGTAGCAAGTGGAGACTGTTGTTTGGGAAAAAAAAGGACACTCATTTGAGGCCTTGTTTGATGTGGTTTGGGCATGTGGTCCTAAAAGGTTGATGATTGTGTGTGGGTGTGTCATCACTGCTGCACTGTTATATCAAAGGCTGTCCATTCGGTCCTTTGGAACACAATCTGAGCAACTGCTGCAAAACACTCTGTTTTACAACATTTTGTTGGATCTCTAATCCCTTGAAATGTCCAATTTGAAACACCTGAAACCTAGAATCTGGAGATCAGAATCCTTGAGATGTCTAATGTTGGATTCTCCAAGCCTCATAATTTGGAGCCTGGAGTACTCCAACACGAATTGAATTGGAATGTTGAAGGGAAAACTGTTGTTTGGGGAAAACAATCTTTGGTCCAAGGGAACACAATCTGAGCAACTGCTGCAAAACACTGTGTTTTACAGCATTTTGTTGGATCTCTAATCCCTTGAAATGTCCAATTTGAAACACCTGAAACCTAGAATCTGGAGATCAGAATCCTTGAGATGTCTAATGTTGGATTCTCCAAGCCTCATAATTTGGAGCCTGGAGTCCAACATATCCAAGTACACATTCCTTTCCAAATACGATTTTGATCCGAATTGAATTTGCATATTGAATAGAATTTAGTAAGCACATAGTTCACCACCATTCACAATTCACCATAATGTCTATATTAGATCAGAATTTGAACAGGAATACCTTTCCAAATAAGGAAAATATGATTGCAGTAGAATCCAAATATACTTTAATGCAGACAGAATTCAATTAGCTTTTGAACATAATAACTTAATCAAGAATCCATCCCCAAAAAACATCTTGAATTGGAATATAGCTTATTCTGGAAAGAAATCACTTGGCCTTTGCAATCAAATTTTAATAGTAACTCATTCCCAAATATGATTTAGCTTAAATGTGGCTAAACAAATAAAGGGCACATATCCCCAGACTCCCAAACTTGGTCTGGAGATGTGTTTGGCATGTGCAGGTCTCAGAGCTTTCATTTTCAGGAGATTTTGTGCTTTTGGGTCTGTGCAGGTTGCAGAGCTCAAAGCTGCCAAAAACCTCATTTTTTCAATGTTTTTCCCTGGTGTACTCAAAACCACTGTAAAAACCAGTGATTCAATCAAAGGAATCCGTTTTCGCTTTGCTGCCTTTCAAGCCTCAACTAATCAGACATTTGCTGTCACATAGAAGGTAAAAAAGCAACAACAACACTGTATTTTACAGTGTGTTCAGGCATCTGCAAGAAAGAGGCACACAGAGTAGAGTTGACACCTTCAACTAGAAGAGGGCAAAGGTAGGCCCTGGGGGGGGGGGTGACCACACATATATATATATACATATATATACATATATATATATACATATATATACATATATATATATATATATTTTTTTGAGGGCACTCTTTTGGTGGTGGTTTCCCAGCAAAGAAATGACTAGGTGAATAGGTTCTCCCTGAACTGTGTGGGCCCTCCCTCCTGTTGAGCGCACGCCCCTGTTGTGGGAGGCCTATCAGGGCCAGGCTTACCAGCAGCAGGCGGCCAGCCCACCTGCAAGGAACTCAGACAGAGGGCTGCCTGGATCGCCAGTTGCTTTTCTTTCCATGCACTTTACCCCAAAAACGAGCAACAGTGGCTGAAAAAAGCAGCTATTTAGGTGGTTGGTTTCTTTTTCTGAAGTAAACCTGCCACACGCAAGGCCGCAAAGTCATGGACGGGTGGGGGGGGGGGAGGAGGAGGGGCGGGGGGTTTCCTTGTTACACCCTCACTACATGCAATAGTTGGCTTATGGCTATTTGGTTACGGATCTTTGGACTTTAACCTTCTGGTTGCAACAGCCCGGATTCGCCGAATTGGACCCACCAGCAGCGATTTGCATCTTGCAGAGGGGTCCGTCCAGCAACCAAGTTTCAGGGGCCCTGTGCAGCTGGGTAGAAGTACATGGCGAGTTCATTCCTCCAATCGGTGTACTCCACACCCTCCCTCCTAACATGGAAGTGAGGCTCCGTTTCCGCGAGGGAATTCAGGGAGCCGGGGGGCCATGCCCAATAGCGACGATTTGGTCACGTCCTTAGACACCATTGAGGAACGTTGAGGCCTACTGCCCTCCCATGTGGGGCCGATTGGCGTTTGCCAAGTGGGTGTGGCTCAAAATTAAACAGGAGGGGTTATGCGGGTTTTGGTCCATGTTTCCTGAACAGGGTTCCATGTTGGCACAGGTTTTTTGAGCCACAGCCAAGTTTGTTTCCCTTCGGAGGGTGCTCCTTGGGCAACAATGCTGCACCAGGGATTGTTTCAACAAATTCGAATAAGCAATCCATGCATTCCGGAAAACAAAGCATGGCTCCCGGCCTTTGCTTTTTCCTTCAACATTTCTCCACACGTTGGCTAGGAAACCTGATTTTTGCAGCTTGGGACACCGGCAGGGACTTCGGCCCTCCCCCAAAGAAATGGAACAAATGGGCAACTTGGGTCGATTTCCCTCGTTGGGCGGATTGCCCCCCCCCGCCCAAAAGAAAAGGAAGAGGAAGCAACAACTTCTTTTAGCATCAACATTTTCAAGGGTTGCGGTCGCGGGCTGTTTTGTTTTTATTCGAAGAAATCCCGCGCGGGT